ATTTTGCTCATTTATTATTTTACCTACATAGTGAAAAACGAGGAGCCCAAAGAAACATATTTCATATTTAACAAACATGTGTAGCCCCCAAAACAATATTATGTCTGGTAAACCAATTTAAGAGACTACTTTTAAATACGATTTCAAGAATTGTTGTTGTACAATTGTTTTCAAACATCACCAGCGATAAAATCTCAGTGTAAAAGTTAAAAATATTCAACAAAGTCCTTTTGACGGCCCGTCTTTAAAAAAGAAGAAGTGGATTTTATAAATCGTATAGTTAGCTAAGGCAGGGTTGTTAATAAAGATATTGTGTACTATAGTTGTTGAAGCCAATATTCTATGTCATTTTCTTTTTTGTTCCAAACAGTCAAAACACACAATGAATAGTGGGTGTAAATCAAATTAGGTTTTGCCCTTCAACGACGTTTTTAACAGAGGTTGTGGAATGCTAGAAGACATTTCTGTCATTTTTGGGGTATATGTAGCCTAAGGTGTGATGAAATAAAATCGTATAGTTAGCCAAGGCAGGGTTGTTAATAAAGATATTGTGTACTATAGTTGTTGAAGCCAATATTCTATGTCATTTTCTTTTTTGTTCCAAACAGTCAAAACACACAATGAATAGTGGGTGTAAATCAAATTAGGTTTTGCTCTTCAACGACGTTTTTAACAGAGGTTGTGGAATGCTAGAAGACATTTCTGTCATTTTTGGGGTATATGTAGCCTAAGGTGTGATGAAATAAAAACGACTATTGCGTCTGTCATGAAATGAGTACAAAAGGTACTTTTGAGAGCTATTTTTCAGGTCCTGTTTCGACCTGACCGTGCAATTTGTGTAAAAGTCGTCGTTGCGGGCAAAACAAAACACAGTAAATCGTGACGTAATAAACAGGACTCGTTTATGCTACTCTGCATCGGGAGTCCTGTTTATTACGTCACAATTTACTATGTTTTGTTTGGTGCCCGCAACGACGACTTTTACACAAATTGCATGTTCGGGTCGAAACAGGCATGACAGGACTTGAAAAACAGCTTTCAAAAGTACCTTTTGTACTCATTTTATGACAGAAACAATAGTCGTGTTTATTTCATCACACCTTAGGCTACATATACCCGAAAAATGACGGAAATGTCTTCGAGCATTCCACAATCTCTTTAACACTGTATACTCAGTGTGTTACCTCCTGAGTGAAAGTTGGAAAAAATCACTCGGGTGGGACTCGAACCCACGACCTCCTGCTTTCTAGTGCAGATGTCTTAGCACTCGACCACCGAGTTAACGGGATCGGCTGGCCTGTTCGAATCTGATGTACATAGCAGCGGGTACTGCATAAACTATTATAAGATGGAATTTCACGTCGGGGTGATATAAATCAAATTAGGTTTTGCCCTTCACCGACGTTTTTTAACACTGTATACTCAGTGTGTTACCTCCCGAGTGAAAGTTGGAAGAAATCACTCGGGTGGGACTCGAACCCACGACCTCCTGCTTTCTAGTGCAGATGTCTTACCACTCGACCACCGAGTTAACGGGATCGGCTGGCCGGTTCGAATCTGAATAGTGGGTGTCTTTATGGACGAGATAATTTAGACGGATTGAGCACTTGAAATAATGTTTTCGTCTTAAAGTAGTTTATTAAATTTGCTTATCTATCATTATTATTTTTGGTGGTACGTATTTTTTGGGGTTCCGCTTTCTTTGACTCACCCTGTGTAACAGATTTAATTCGGTGTCAAGATTATACGTATGAGGCCTATTATTTGGAGTTACATTTTCAAAACGCCTTCAAGAAGTTCCGTTTGATATTTCTGGTTCAGTGTAACTTCTTAAAAAACACCTTTAGGCAAGTTAGTGGATGAATAAATAAGCAGCTTTTATGATTAATTTATTTGACTTGTTATATGCATACTACAGTTTGTAATCTTTCACCTTGCAAGCTTCCCTATTTTCAATGGCTCCTCGATTGACAGGAAAAGAAGACCCTGCATGTCTCTACCTCTCTTTCTCGTTTAGAATTTATCAAGCTTGGCCTACAACTTTGCCCTAGTGTAACGGCTTGTGTAATGACACCTCTTCATAGTGACTATACAAAAAGTGTCCATGTGTGTAAATATTTATATTCACGTCGATAAGACTATTTTGTGCACCACGGAAAATGAATGAAACGTGATTGACATAACCTTTCCGTTGCGCATGCCAGTACAGTGAGGGCTGATAGCCTATAGACTCGTTTCAAGTCTGTGTTTATGTATGTGTTCACAGTGCAATGGACGTTCATAGTCGTTAACATTGTCCTACATACAGTAGATATACACTAGAGTACCAACTTTTGCTTTGATTCCAGTTTGTAAATCACTTTCGTGCAGGGTGAGTAAAAAAAAAAAGCGGAACCCAAACCCCCCAAAATATTTCATATTTAAACAAATATGTAGCACCAAGCATAATAATGACCGGTAAACCAATTTCATAACAGTGGCGTAGCACGGTCATTTTTTATTGGGGGGGGGGGGGGATTTCTTGAAAAGGGCACTTGCACATCCGTGCTGAAATGTAGACACGTTTCCTCCGGACACCAGGCCTCCGTAAATCAAATAGTTGGGGAGGGGGGGGGGGTGGGGGGGGCTGGTACCATCTGTTGATGGGAGCGATGTTCAAACCGACGATTATGCACACTATTTTTTTTTTTTTTTTTTTTTTTTAATGGACAATTGCACTTTTCAGTGCAATACATGCGCGAAATTAAAAAAGGCACCCGGAACGGCCAATCGGGAAAAAAGGGCACGACTTCTTTTTAAAAAGGGCACTTGTTCAGAAAAAAAGGCAATCGTTTAAAAAGGGCACTCTTTACAAAATATTGGGGGGAGGAGTAAAGCGCTGGTGAAAACAGGGCAATTAAGACTGCACATTTAGATAAATGAAATTGTGTATATAATGACTCTCGCAAAACGAGAAAAAAGGCCAGAATCGACAATGAATATAGACCCTTCTTTCTCTTTTATTTTAAACAATCCCTGGGAACAGGTAATGTGTAGGAATATAATTATGTTATTAACATATATTCCTACACATTACCTGTTCAAGTATACCTATCAGAACAGAAAAGGAAAAAAAACTTCTGAAGTATAAGTAAGATTTGAGGCTTTGCATGGTGAAGATACTAAATAATGAAAGGTTTGCGGAAACACCATGTGCGAATAATTTCTCAACTAAGAGAATGGTTCTGAAAAGAACCAGAGGTATAAACTCGACGTTCCGGTCAGTATGCTCTGACCGTCTTCAGGAGAGTGCCTAAACTCTAAGAAAGTGAATACTTAAGTAGCAAAAGGTGAAATCAATGGAGTGTGAAGTTGCATCCTGTGAGGATGCCAAGTAGACAGGATCCCTGAGCAAGCTTAGTGCCCACTGAAGTGGAACAGTAGGGTTGCAGTGTCAGTGGAGGGAGGACCTAGGGTATAGGAGACCCATCAGTCTAAGGTAGTAGCTGAGGACCTAGGGTATAGGAGACCCATCAGTCTGGAGAAGTGGGAGCCAGATGTCGTTGAGATGAAACCCGATGTCTTGCGGAACTGTGTTGTGCTTGCGGATCTCGATGGCTTCCCGTATGCGTCTTGGATGCCAGAACTGGATCGGTGCGATGAGTTCGGCCGCATCCCAATCAACTTTGTGGTCGTTGATGTGGGAATGTTTGACAATGGCCGATTTGTCAAAATCCCCTCGCCGTCCATGTGCTCTGTGTTCCTTGAGCCTAGTGGGAAGGTTCCGACCGGTTTCGCCGATGTAGACTTTGCCGCATTCGCATGGAATGCGGTAGACTCCCGGCTTGGAAGAGGAGTCCTGCTTGTCCTTGTGAGTATGGAGGCTGCCTTGGAGCTTGTTGCCAGATGAGTGGTACACCTTGACGCCGGCTTGTCGGAGGATGCGTTGCAGATGATGAGAAGCTGGACCTATGTAAGGAAGAGTGACTGAGGGAGATACAGTGGGAGGACCTTGGGTATAGGGGACCCGTTGGTCAGGTTTGCTGATCTTGATGCGGTTGGGTTTGTAGCCGTTCCGTTGTAGTGACGTCTGGATGTGCTGGAGTTCACGCTTGAGGTTGTCTTGGTCGCAGACCTCGAAGGCTCTCTGTACTAGGGTGCGGTTGACCGATGACTTGATGCTGGGGTGATGGAACGACCGCTGGTGGAGATAGCGGTCGGTGTGGGTGGGTTTCCTGTAGACGCTGTGTCCCAGGGTGCCATCCGGATTCCTGGAGATCTTGACGTCCAGGAAAGGAATGGTGCCATGCTGTTCTTGTTCCATGGTGAAGCTGATGCTGGTGTGTTGCTTGTTGAGGTACTGGAGGAAGTCTTGGAGTGTGTCCGGGCCATGGGGCCACACTACGAAGGTGTCATCAACGTAGCGTAGCCACAGGCTCGGCCGAAGATCCGCTGTGAGTAGGGAGGAAGACTCGAACTCCTCCATGAAGATGTCGGCTAGGACCGGGGATAAAGGAGATCCCATGGAGGTCCCAGCCGTTTGCTCGTAGAACTTGCCTTGCCACTGAAAACAACTGGAAGAAATACATGTTAGTAACAGATCATGAATTTGGTCGGGGGACAGGTCTGTGCGTTCAGCGAGAGTGGTATCATGTTCAAGTCTTTCCTTAGCTAGTTTGCAGGCCTCGCCTGTGGGAACATTGGTGAAGAGTGAGACGACGTCAAAACTGACAAGCAAGTCAGTGGGTTGGACAGTGAGGTTTCTGGTGATGCTGACAAACTGGGAAGAGTTGGACACATGGTGTGGTGTCTGAAGTATACTTTTAATTGGTATTTCATTTGGTGTCTGAAGTATACTTTTAATTGGTATTTCATTATATATATACGCATTACTTTTTGGCACAAAATGGCTTTCGTAGTATCTCAAACATAATCCGTGTTTATGGTAGAGATTTGCAAAGTATGCAAACACGACCAAAGGGCACCGGTTGTTCCCCATGGCACATCTATACTCGGTAATCTGGCTATTCAAACTTGAACGGTTCATTTGCTCGCCGCCTATTCGCCACGCATCCTGACCAGTACACCGTGTGTGAGTGCATTTTCATCCGACATGGCCGCTTCCACCGTACTTTTGAGCTTCAGCGACAACCCCGTGTTTCGGCTGTACGCCACCTATGCGTCCGCAGTCGTGCTAAAGATGACGTTCCTTGCGTTTCGGACCGGACGACTTCGAATGGGTCGCAAGGTCAGTTTTATTTTAAAGGGAGCAAAAGTTTGACAAGTAAACAATTCATGCTAGTTCTGATCAACTAAGCCAACTAAGCCTACTGTAAACATGGTCCAGTGTACATAATTAAGGGTGGAGAATCTCACATCTCTCAAGATTATTTGCTTTATATGCATTCCGTTCGTGTCTAACAATCCTACTGAAAAGTTAAAGAAGACTTTTTCGAAACTCAACCCGTTGAAGTTTCAGCTCAGTGGCTTTAACACTTTTTCAGAAAGCAGTAAAATAAACAAGCACATGATCTTTTGATCACGACAGACGATTTCGCCAAAAGGACTCTTTCTTTCCTAGTCAATTGATCGTTAGAATTGCCTACCGGTACAACATATTATATATTTCATCTAAAATAATAACAGCAAGCTAAAACGAAGTAATTTCAAGGGGTGTTTAGTACCAGTACTATCTGCAATCCAAATGCGTTTATGATAATGATTGGCTCTAGGTTATATGCCTACTTTTGGGATAAAGGAACATTATCCAATATGCCTTTAAAAGAGGGGAGGAGTAGGGCGAAAGAAAACCATTCGGACTTTTTGTTTTTTGAAAAATAGTCTCGCAAAAGCATATGGAAGCAATGGATGCCTTCGTTCACATGACGTCAATATCACCCGCATTACTCATTAGCTGTCTTCATTAATTCTATGTAGGTATTCATCAATCTAGAGGATGCAAATGGTAAGAAGGAACTGGTGCGACGGGACGACGATATCGAACGTGTTCGAAGGTACTTGTGGGTTTTTCTTGTTGTGGGTTTGTGGGTATTGTCTTTCTTGTAAAACATGGTGCTGTTATGTACCATATTACATTCACCTCCTTGCTGTTATACATGCCATATTCAAAGAATGTCTTTTCAAGAACTTTAAGTCATTCTAAGCCCACATCTCCTCTATGTCCTTCATGATCCTCACAGATGCCACCGTAACGACTTGGAAAACATACCAGCCTTTCTGGTCTTGGGTCTGCTGTATGTTCTGACCGGCCCTAGTGTCTTCGCAGCGACTTGGCATTTCCGTGCGTTCGTGGCGTCCCGTTTCTTCCACACCGTTGCCTACCTGACTCCCCTCCCCCAGCCCGCGCGAGGGTTCTCGTTCATGATCGGTATGGTCACTAACATCTCGATGGCGGTACAGGTGCTCATGAACGGCCAGCTGTAGACAGCATCTGTCAGAACATTCGAAAGATAATGGAAACAGATTACATATTTTATTTTATTGCAAGTACTAACAAATTTGCCAATCAATCACAAGTTGATCACAATTCAAATAAGGTTTTGCCCTTCGATCACAATTCGATCACAGGTCAATCAAATGTCAATCAAGAATCATTCACAAGTCAAATCAGTGGTGAATCGCTAGTCAATCGCAAGTCAATCGCAAGTCAATCACATGTCAAAATCACATGTTAATCACAAATCATTCACAAGTCAATTACAAGTCATTCACTAACCAATCACAAGTCAGTATTGCTTCAAGGGCGGATCCAGAACACAATTTTTGGGCGGCCCAAAAAAATTTGGTCCCCCAAAAGTGTGTCCCAAAAGATTACGGCATGGGGTTCTAATTTGGATTCTAGATGCTCTGTGGTGTGATCTGAGGCAATTTCTGACCACTTTAACCAATGTTTTTTTAGGAAAATAAGGTGATGTACTCATTGCCTGCCTTTACTAAAAAAAAAAAAGATTCTTTTTTGGGGGGGGGGGGGGATGGCCCCCTCCCCCCCCCCTGGATCCGCCCTTGTGTTGCTTTTATTCATATCCTGTTACTTTGGAAGTGACTTGTGTTTCGACTTGTGATACATGAAACTCTTCAGCCTAGATATCCCATTTCGCCTGAATTGTGCAAATGTGTTGAGGAACAGCCCCGTTGCACGGTGCGCCCTCACCGAGGCCAGTTTTGATATTTCAATTCAACTAAATTTAAGTTCCAAAACTTAACTACATGTAGTTCGTTTTTAACTTCAAATTGAAATAAAAAGCGATTGCAATAAAACCGATTGTATACGGTGAATCATTACAAAGTTGATTGAGTTGTAATTGTTTTCTCTGTTTTTAACACTTCAACAAGTGAAAAATATCACACGAGTATAATGTTTAGAAATTATACACACAGAAATCTAAGGGAAATAACGAGGCTATGCAGCGAAATTGAAAAGAAGGTAAAACTAACAAAAACTGAGGGAAAACGGATTAGAGATTGCAATTTTTTATTCTTTTCTGGCGTTATTCTTGTTTTTTTTTTTGAAAATAATAAAACGTCATGGGCCTTCAATGGAGTGAGTTAAAAAGAAAGTGACCTGGATTAATGAATGTTTCCTTTTAAAAACTATTAAATTTGATACATACATAGAACATGTATTAAACGCGCATGTTCTTCTACTCGTGAAAAAAACACATGCAATTGATGCATGCAATCAGACGTTATGCATGTTCTACTAAAATAACCCTTTTGTTTTTTACATCTGTCAGTATATTGCTAAATGCTTGGAAGCTATTCAGCTGAGCGGGAACCAGAGATTACACACAGGTATTCAAATACAAATTGAGATTTTAATAATATGAGTCAAACTGAGACACTATAGTTTTACTGTCAGATTTTGGGATTTGCGCTGTCACTATTAAAGAAACAAGTCTTCTTCACAGGTCTCTTTCCCTTCCTAAGTTTTCGTTTATTCATGGAGGTATACCCCCATGATATTCATCAATGCGTATCGGTGAATGTTCAGTGATAGACAGCTGAATTTTGTGTTATTTCTATTACTTAAAAATAGAGATAAGTTGACGTTATTTGAAGTCAGCGTTATTTTTTTACCATAGTTTGATCTTTTGTTTTCGGTTTGACCAGCACACGTAGGGCAAATGTGACCGCAGTTCTTGCTTTTTCATCGCTGTTAGATCTGGACAGAGATGACAACGACTTTTACCCTATATATGTCTTTAAAGGCTATAGACTATTTTTTAAAAAAAAGTAAAGTCATTCTGTTCACAAATATAACTAATCCAGTCCATTACAATATTGATAATTTCCCCAGAAATTAACGATTCATAAAGGTCAAATTTACTGTGACAACGTCAACTATAACAACATGATAAGGGGACAGGACAAAAGTTTAACAACCCGCAAGTTCAACTTCAAGGGCAAGGTCTCAGTGGTACCGTAAATTTAATCCGTTTCCCAAAGCTGCATATTTCAACAAAAACCTGATTTCGTGTTTTACAAGGTGTGCGCCGAGAAAACAACGTGTGACAAACCTTTCCGCGGCAATCCCAAAGCTTTGGCAAGATTCGAGCCGGATTTTTAGACCTTGGAAAGGCGGCAAAGAGGTTTGAAGGCAGATAAGTTGAAGACCTTTTTCACGGAAAATGATAGACGTTGGGGTATTTCGATTCAGGGAGAATAGAATTTGTCAATTCTGTGGAATACAAAATTATAAAAAAGATGTTTTGGTCACATAATGAGGGAAGCGTTTCAATTTAATTTAGAAATGAAAAGGGTCAAAGGGGACGGAGTATTTTTTTTTATCGATGTTGGTTGTGGATAGAGGCAACCGACAACTTTTCCCTAGATCCATTAGATAGGAGTGTCCACAAACTAACCATTTGTCACTTGGAAATGTTTGAATACAGATGGATTACAATACTGATATACGCCAAAGAAATCAACCTCGTTATCAGTTATTTATTAACACAACGTTTTCTTTACTCGCGCTAATCTGGGTCTCAACAAAGTTCAAAGTAGGCATGATTCACGTCGTTTCTGTCGAGTAAAACGTGGAAGTCAATGTTGTTGTTTTTTATTTCATGTAGTAATCAATTGACAATACACAAGGACGTGATAAATATAAGCATGTTCAATAGCTTTTGAAGTTGTAAAAAAAAGTCACATCTGGAATGTCCCATTAAAAAAACTGCTTTCACATGAGTTTGAACTCTCTGTTTTAGTTATATCTCTCCACTCTCATCCAGTAGTAGGGATAGTGGGGGTACCAGATCAAAATGGAAAATCTGTGGCAAGCCTGAACACGTCGCTCTCGTTTCTCAAAAATCGCACGTCGCTCTCGTTTCTCAAAATCCCCCGAGGCAATTTTTAAAAATTCTGACGTCGGATACCGGATCAAAATCCCCCGATCCCAATTTTTAAAAAATCTGACGTCGGGTACCGGATCAAAATCCCCCGATCCCAATTTTTAAAAATCTGACGTCGGGTACCGGATCAAAATCCCCCGATCCCAATTTTTTAAAATCTGACGTCGGGTACCGGATCAAAATCCCCCGATCCCAATTTTTAAAAAATCTGACGTCGGGTACCGGATCAAAATCCCCCGATCCCCCACTTATAAACAGCGCCTCTAAAAAAATGTCTTTTGTGAATATTAACCAGCAACCATGGATAAACGCTTTATAGAGACTGATAGCATGTTTTAACCTAACGTCAATGCTTTGTGTAAGGTTGAGTGATAAACGTTCAGTCATAGAAAGCCTTAAAAAGATACGATGACCGCTACAATAAAGGTGGGGCTGAGGGTGACACCCTAAGAGGAAAGGTATAACTCGGTGGATCGCCTTCATAATGTTTATTTACTGAGAATTCGAACTTGTAAGTTTTTCGATAAGAGATTTTTTTTTAACTTCTTTTTCAAAGTCTAAATCGTTTTTAATTTTTTGAGGCTTTGTGTTGGTCTTTGTTCTAATTTTTTGCTTAAGCTCGTTAAATTTTGCGAACTCTCTCGTAATCAATATAAACTCTTCGTGCGATATATCTCCGTCGTTGATGGCTTGAGACACGTATTCTTCAATCGTGTTAAGTTTGGAGTCTGCTAATATTTTAATCTGGTCGTGCTTTTTCAGCTTGGCGGATAATCGCCTAGACGCGATTCTAAGCAGAATATCTACACCAAAAGCGCCTATAAAAGTTCCTTCTAGCACCAATCCAACAGGGGCTGATATAACACCCAAGAGAGCGGGAATACTGACAGCCCCCGCTATAGCCCCCAATCCTTCTAATCCTATCTCTACGTAATTAATAGTGTCGATCACTCTCTTTATTTTTTTATAAGTGCGCTCTCGGTGGTCTCTCTCTTTCAAGATTAAAGATCGAATCTCTTCAATCTTTTTAAGTCTGTACACTTTTGTTTCTTCTTTACTATGTAATTGGAGTACATCTCCAGAAATATCGGGGTATAACGCCTTACCATCTACACTCATGTTTTTAATATAAAAAGATTTTAAAATTAAAAGATCTCCAACTCGATAATGATACCCTCACCCTTATTGTTGAATACCTGTTCTTTTTCACCGCTGATAGAAAATGTCAGTTTGTCGATTATACCGTTTTTAAGGTTTTTGAATCCCTCGGCTCTATCAATATCGGGTTTGCGCGTAGCCACGGGTACGATTTTTAAGATGTCAGAAGGACGACCATTAAAAAATTTTTCACTCGTACTTAATTGCGGGCAGCGAATAAACAAAAATTTAAACGGATTAACGTCGTAATACCCCGTATACACCACTTTGGGTACCAGTCTTCCATTGGGTAAATTGAGTAATCGAGATACTTCTCTGTTCAAGCGCAATTTGAGATTTACGTCGGTTATCACCAACGTCACCAAATATTCGAAAATTTACCCCGGGTATAGAATTTAAAATGAAATCGAACCAATCGACGTCGTACCACCCCGGTGGTATGATGACCGAACCGATACTTCCGAGTGGTAACGGCTCTAAATGACTCGGAGGAATAAAATCGAAATCATCACACGTCACGATAAGACTTCCTCTTATAATCACCCTGCTTCTCTACTATCTCTCAACTCGCTCAACTCGCTCGCACCCATTTCTCCTTCAATAAACTTTAAAGCCAATTCCTCACCTTCAAAGATTTGTTTCTCTAACAAATAATATTCTTACTAAAGATTGAAGCGTTTTAAGTTCTAATTCAGTTTTTGGTATTTCTGAAGACATGGCGGCTAAAATCAACCCTCGCCGTTCAGCTATAATAGCTCTTTTTCTTTTGTTTGATTCTAAAACGGATTCTAGTCTATCGTCTTCGTACGCTTTTATAAGATCGTTTATAGTTTTTTGTAAAACATTTTCATCGTTAAATAAAAAGTGGTATGGTATATCGGGTAACAATCGCTCTATAAAATCTCTATCCGGCGTTCTTATGTGCACATCTGAAAGAAACTCCGCAGGTATGAGGGGAGGTTTATCTGTTGTAAACGCGGGTCTCCCATCTATTTGCGTAAACCAATCAATCTCCGTGGCGCTGGAAATATTAAAATATCCGGCGTTAAACAACACCCTTTTTACGCGTACAGATTTTTGACCGTTTAAATTATCTACGACGTCTTCTAATTCAAACGTCTGCTCATTTTGAAACAAGTGAAACGAATGCATT